GGGGCGGGGGTCTGACCCGCCGGGGGAGGCGCGGCCGCCGGTCGGGCCGGCACAGACGGCCGGGCGAGGTCGGTGGGTGACGGCGCGGCGGGTGTCTCGGGCACCACTGGATGGACGGCAGTCGGCAGCGTCGTCCGATCCGACGCCACAGGAGTCTCTAGTACGGTAGAGCCAGTCCGGACAGAGTCAGCCACCACCGCCGGCGATATCGCGGTCTGGCTCCTTGCTGCTGACGGGTCCTCGGGGATTCCTCCCAGCGCGGTGCGCACGTCAGCGCTCCCCCGGTCGGGCGCCGTATCTTGCACAGGCGCTGTTCCACTCGTAGACGGACCGGGAGTCTCGGGCGACAGTGGCGGCCCTCCACTTCCATCCGTGCCATCGGCGGCATCGCTGCCCGTTCTCCGCGCCAGCCGGCCTCGTAGCTCGGCGTTGATCAGCCCGGGCAGCCGCTGACCGCCGGCCGGGGGTCTTCTGACCGCCGCCGCTGCCGCCGACGGCACCGGCCGGTCCTCAGGGGGCTCGTCGGCCGGAGCGGGCGACGTGACCGACTGGAACTGGCTGGACTCCGGCGGCAGAGACAGCCGGTTCGAACCGGGCTTTTTCCGACTGGGCCGACGCTTGACCGGTCCGCGCGGCCGCTCCTGCGGACAGAAAATGTCAGAACAGTTAGACAACGGTCAGACAGGACAGTCGACGATCAGACAGAGAAGACGGCGGTCCAAGAGGGGAGTCGACGGTTGGGCGGGGCAGCCGGCAGACAGGGGAGATGCGGAGGTCAGACAGGGCGGGTGGTCAAATGAGAGAGCCAGGTCACAGCCAGAGGGCAGGTAGAGATCAGAGGGGACTGCCGGCGGCCAGCCGACACAGTGCCGCAATTAGGCACACCACTCGCAATTAGACACCTCGCCGCCGAGTACCGACAACGACGGAGACGGCAATTAGGCCGGCCGTAGTCGACTATCAAGGGCCGGGTTCAGCCTCTGAGGCCGGCGGTGCATTAGCAATAATGGCCTGGGGCAGGATCAAATCGCAATTAGAGTGCCCGGCGTTTGCAGATCCCGCTATTTAAACAACTGGTGGAGGTGCAGCTACGTGGAACTGGTGGTAGGTGATGCGTGAAATTCAGAGAAAAGGAATCTAACGAATAGTAGATCGGGTGTCCAAATCAACATGCAATTAGCATAGTTTGTTTGATACATTAAATTCGTTGGAGGATTGTGTTTATATTGAATACCTACGAGTTTATTGTACTAATTACTTTTTAGCTCGTTTTTTTCATTACCGACTTGGCATCGTATCAGCTTTAGTTAGACCAATAAACGTCACGATTAGCGATGTAAGCCCCTGTTTTGAGCGCCTAATAACATCGTTGATAGCAATGATAATGACCATTGAACATGGAGCTTACATTTATATTGCAGCTGCAGCTGTGCAATGTTAAACCGTCCCAAATGAAACGCAACAGCTGGCGAATATACTCGTACGAAAATCAATATCAGTAAGAACAATAACAGTGGCAGTAATAAGCCCGGTCCAGCAGCTCCGCGCTGCGGACCGTACCTACCTTTGTCAGCGACGGCAGGGTGTCGAGCGGGTCGGCCGGCCCCAGGTCGGCGGCAGTGTGTGTCGGAGGCGGAGAGCTGACCTCCGGCCGTCCCGTCGGCACGGACGCTGCCGACAAAACAAACACCCGAGGTCAACAGAGCGGCCCACGCAGCTGCGACACGGACCGACGACAACGCGTAGTAGATCGATCACCGCAGCAAACGGAGACATTGACTGGTGAGGTTAGGACAATGCAGTACTTCATGACGCTTTGATAGACTAGCAGAACGAAAGAACACTGGTATGTGCTGCTTGTGTAACAGCAGTGAAGGTCGCCTTTCGATTACAAAGTCTACATCTAGTCCGGCCGTTAGTCTGTGTCGCACCCACCTGGTCGGGTGTGGCGCTTCGGCTCCGGGCGGCGTCTGACGACCTCCGGTGGGGGCAGGCCGGCAGCCGCGGCGGCCGGACTCCTCACTGGACTCTGTGACGGACTCTCTGGTGGACTCCCCACCTCCCGGGCGCTGTCCGCCGGCGGGTGGGTGGTCGGACTGACGGGAGGACTCGGGGACAGCCGCGCCGCCGGTCCCGCCGCCCCGAACAGTGCCACGCCGCCGGCCGGGCCGCCGGAGCGCCGCCGAGCCGAGGAACCCAGCTGGTGTTCGATGGACGCAGCCAGCGCCGACAGGCCGGCAGAGACGGGCCGCGCGCCGGACGGTCCACCGCCGCTCCGACGGACCACGCCGGGGGAGTCGGGAGCGTCCACCGCGGCCGGAGACGGCGCTCGGTTCTCAGAGGGGTCCGGGGTGGGTTCTACCGGAGGAGACACCGCGTCAGGCGAGATCGCAGAGCCCTTCGCTGGTCTGTGCTCGTCCACCGGTTTTGTTGCAGCGGAGTTGTTCGGCGCTACTTGAGATTTCTCGTTAACCGGTGCTCGGCTAGCTGGTTTCGTCACATCGGTCGACGCTGGCGTCGCTTTAGCGGAGGCAGCAGTACGGAAGGCCGCAGCAGGGTGGAACAGGTCGTCCTCGTCACTGTCTGAGTCAAACAGGCTGGCGGGTACGGCCTTCTTCGTCTTAGCCGCTGGGGCGGCAGCTGCCGGAGCGGCCTTTGAAGCAGCGGTCGTCGGCTTAGCAGTAACATCCGCTGAGGGGGCGGCGGCTGAGGCCATCGGCGCCGGCGCTGGGGCTGGGGCTGGTTCTGGCACCGAGAGTGGTGCTGGTGCCTGAGCTGCCGTCGGTGCTGGTGGTGGTGTAGGCTCCACTGCTGGTGCTGGTACAGCTGCCGCAGCTTTGGATTTCGCCGCAGGCGCCCGTCCCGTCGACGCCGAGCTGGCGAAGAGGTCCTCCTCTGAGCTGGACGAAAACAGGCTGCTCACGGGAGGTTTGGATTTCTGTGCCGCTGGTTTCTCCGGCGGTTTGGCTGCGGCCGCTGGGACGGTCGGCGCTGCCCCGGTCGCCGCGCTGACCGCAGGCGCAGATGGACCAGGGGCAGTCGGACCCATCGCGCGGACATTCTCTACACCGGTGCTGAGTGGCGGCGGCCGGGCGGTGGCAGTCGCGGCACCGCTGCTCCGGACTGGCGGAGGGGAGTTGGCGAGAGGATCGACCCTCTTCCCCGCGTCCGCCGCCCTCGGCGGTGTCTTCGCTCGGCCGGGAGCCACCAGTGAGAAAATGTCGTCATCCGAGTCACTATCGAACAGACCTTTCGGAGGGGGTTTCGCGGCGGCCGGAGCAGCAGTTGAAGCGGTAGGGGCGGTAGCGGTAGGCCCAGCGGCAGGTTTTCTGACCGCCGCGGCAGTTTTGGCGGCAGCCTCGCTCGCTTTGGCCGCCGCATGGAACATATCCTCGTCATCACTGCTGGAGAACAGGCTGGCCGACGGTTTCGCCGCCGCGACGCCACTCCTCTGGGCCGGCTGGGCGGCTGCGGTTCTCGCCGAGGCCGGGGCGGGGGAGTGTGAGGCGGCCGGTGCCGACCTCCCCGGCTGCCGATCGGCCGGGGCCGCCGCCGTCCGTCCCCCAAACAGGTCCTCCTCGTCGTCTGACACCGGCACCGTCGAGCGCTCAGAATTGATCGGCCGCGCGTGCAGTCTGGAACACAGGGGAGAGGAGTGTTAACCCGCGCCCCACTGGGGGGGGGGGCTATTAGCCCACCCCCCTCCCGTTTTTCTGCAATAACTTCCAAACCGCTTGACGTATCGACGCCAAACTTTCAGTACCTTCGGCTGCAATTAATTTGACACCTTGTGTCAAAATTTGAACTTCGTACCTACCATAGGTCGGCCGGAAATGACGTCAGAGTGACGTCATGTTCGGCCGATTTCGACGCAAAACATTGAACCACGGCAATCGCTCCCAAGAGCTCAGTTTTTAAGCTAGATCCAATTTCTTTTCATGAGAGGACTCAGAATAGACTGCGCTATCAAACTGCTATCTCGGATTTTCGAAATTTTGAAAAATTCGAAAATTTGATATAATAAAATTCAAAATTTATATTTTTACATTCTTTTTCATTTTTTTTTTTACTTTTCGAAAAAAAAACGGAATATATGTGATAGAACGCATTATTATGACTAACTCTAGCAAGTTTTAGCTAAATATCTTCAAAAATGGCCAAGTTATACGCATTATTCAGCAAAAAATTAACAATTATTAATTTTTCAAATAATTTTTTTTTTTCAGCACGAATTTGACATCGTACGCCAATATAAATAACACCATCGTGTTCCTGAGCTCAAACTGCATCCAATAGACACATTTTTTGTTGAAAAATTTTAACTTCAAAATTTGACCCTGACCTAAGCTAAATTTGACTCAAAATGACCTCGAATGACACAGACGACATCAAATTCGAAATGTTTGGCCTAAATGGACCATAAAACATGTGTCACGTGACCGACGGATGATATAATATTTTCGTGACCTGTGATGACCTGACCTTGACCTGAAAATCAAAGTACAAGTTTGGTACCCTCAGAGTATCTAGAGCATCTGTTAACGAAAGTGTGAACCCAAAATGAGCCTGATCTGACTTGTAAGACGGCGGCCAGAGCCCAAAACGTGAAGAAGCCAAAATGCTAATAATTTTTACTTTGACCTGACCTGTGACGTCATCAGTGACCTCGAGGTCAATGAAATTAGGTTTCGCTCGACAGTTTTTCCGGGGCTATCAGACGCCGTTTGAATTTTGACGATCGGCCCAGTAGTTTCGGAGTAAGGAGGGGGGGGGGCTATGAATAGCCCCCCCCCCCCAGTAGGGCGTGTTACACGCAGACCCCAGTGGGGCGCGGGTTAACTCCTGTCCGTAACGATCACGGCAACTCGAGTAAGGGTCGAATAATGCGTCCATTTAGTGCATACTGGAACAAGATTATAAGATGGATCCCGCCCAGACTATCATTCTCCAATGTTTCATTGTAGAGCACAGCCACAGCTCTCGAAGCCTTGTTCGTCCACCTACCTAGGTCCCCGTCGCTTCTGTCGGCCGGCGGCGGCCGGCCGGTCGTCCTCGTCAGAGGAGCTGCTGTCACCCTCCCTCCGACGGGGGGCGGAGAACGGGTCCAGACCGCCGAACATCGCCACGGCACCGGCCGGTAGCTGACGGGGAGGGGAGGTCAGAGACGGCAGGGGCGCCGCACAGAGCGAACAGCCTGGAGCGACTAGCGTGTCAACAGCAGACATAAATACCAGATACGCGCTACACATATCTACCAATAACAAACAATGTTATCAAGTATTGTAATGAAAACGAGTAACAATAATCGAATTAACCACCGCTGTATGTTTATGAAGCAAAGGTACTATGATGAGTATGTCCAAACAACCTGCAAAGCCCAGAAACAATTTTTCGTCTACTTTCCCACCGCCCGCGTTTTTTAAGTTTCGTGTGTATCATGCTACAATAAATACAGGCCGACGTCCCTCAGCAGGGCTCACCCGTCGTGTTGGAGTGGGCGGCTGCGCGGCAGCAGCAGCGGGAGCCGGAGCGGGAGCCGGAGCGGGATCCTCTCCGCCGGGGCTGGAGCCGTCAGAGCCGAGGTCGTCTGAAACCCGACACCACGGCTCATTAGCTGTCGTCAAACAGGTCGCACAGAGGTGGATCATCTTACAACTCGGGGCGAAATACACCGTAAGAACGTCCACGTAATGGCGAAAAATGGTCGGAAGCGGGACAAGAGCGGATCAGGTAACGTACCGCTAATGACTGTCAGAGATGGGTCAGAGAAGTGTCAGAAACAGAACGTCATATGTCAGAAGTCAGAACCAGAAGTTATGAGCCATCGGCGAAATCTCAGCAGTCGGACGCATGTTGTGCACATTCTGCAACTTCACAAAGATGTGTGGCCGGTGATGGTCAGTCCATGATCGCAAGGCCGTGAACGCCAGACGAGTGACTGGCAGGGACTATCCATGAACCAGCCGGGTAAAACAGCGAGCAGCTGCTCACGATCCGAGACCGAGAACCAACAGCCAACATACGGTGGAGGTTGTGTTGTTATTAGACTACATGAGTGAGCCTAGCTGTCAATCAGCCAGTTATGAAACGCAGCAGCATCTAGGATACAAGCCAAGTCCGTCCAACAATGAGACGCTCTTCTATTGACATGTAGGCGCTACCATTCGCGATCGACATAGATAATTGGGAAGATATGGATCCAATGTGCCGCGAGGCTGCGGGAAGTTTTGCACATGAATCATATCGTGTCGTCCACAGCGCTCGACGCTCGCAGAGGGCAGAGTCCATGCGGCTCAAGTTCAGCCATAATGCCCGGGTTTTAGGAATTCAGCCAAACAAAACGCCCCGGACGGAAATATATCAGCCAAACAAGTCTGGTACTCGTCATAACTAGCGGCGTCGCGTAGCACACTTGAAACTTCTGCGATGTATCAAAAACATTCAGACGACTTCGAGCACCGCAGATCTAATTTTGATAGCCGATACCACAGCCTGCAGCAAATGTCTGTGTCGATAAGCATTTAGGCAATATGATTCTCTTGCGACACATCTGATGCTAATAAGATGGTTATGGATTGGGGACGTCGTCCCTGTGGATATTGTACCTCTCCCTCCCCGTGTCTGTACTCACCGGGCGGGGTCTGGTCGGGCCGCTCCATCCCCTGCCGTCTGCTGCCCTCTCCCTCCCCCCTCCCTCCCCTCCCCGTGTCTGTACTCACCGGGCGGGGGCTGGTCGGGCCGCTCCACCCCCTGACGTCTGCTGTCTTCTCCCGCCGCTGCCGGGGCGGCCGCTCCAGCCCACAGGCCGGCCGCCGCCGCCGGCCGGCCGGCACCAAACAGCTCCCCGTCACCGGCCTCCGAGCCAGAGTCCGACTCTGGCGCGAACAGGTCTCCTGGGCGGGGGACGAGGTGTTTACATGACAGTCGGGGGAGTGGTGGGGAGGGGCGGTATGGGTGGCCGGGCAGCTTAGACTGGATGATGGCGGACAGAATGGGCAATCATGCGCCGGGGGCATTCCGCAAAACAACGAAATAACCATCGACACCGCATCAGATGCATTGCTATCAGAGTGAACACAGGCATAATGAAGGAATGTAAACCTTATTTTGTGCTTTTTTTTAACTGATCACGTTACCATCAGGATATAATCGCTCAACTACAAACAAAGATACTACCACAGTCAACTGAGGTAAGAATATTGTGTGCAGGATAGGTAGCGCCATGGGGTTTCCCACTGCTGTAGCGCCATACCTTCCAAGGGCGCTCGGGCGCGTGTCTGTCTCCGCGGCGGCTCCTCCCGTTCCATAGACTTCGTCTTCTGACTGGCAACACCTGGCGCCACCTGTCGGCAACAAACAGAACCTCACGTCACATCGGACATATGGAACATTGAATGGGTCTGAGGCCTTATATCAACTACGTCAGGTCTTACCAACGGGTTCTATGCTGTGAGGCATTGTAGTCTAAGGAACTACCAAAAAACACTCCCCAAGACTGAGAGGTGCTATTTTCTCTCCATCAATCAACCTTGAAAAATTCGTGCAAAAAAAAAAAAAAACAGCGGATGCATCGTCGGTAAGTTAGTGGTGACAAGAGCAATCACCCAGGATATGAACAATCCATCAGTGATCCATATTCTCGGGCCCTCGTCTGGCGGCCGGCGCCCACCTGCGTCCCCGGGTCGAACATATCGCCGCTCGAGTCGCTCCAGGCGTCATCGGCCGGCGGATGGGCGGCCGCCCGGGCGGGGGCGGCGGCGGCGGGGGCGGGGGCGGCGGGGACGAACACGTCTCCAGTGTCGCCAGTGCCGTCCAGCAGCTCGCCAGTGGTCTCCTGTGGAATGGAGCAGCGTCAGTCGCTGGCTGAGTACGACACATCACTGATTCGGCAATGACACGAGACATTTTACCGGCATAACAACCAGTAATCTAGGTCACACTCTTGACGGTAGGCACTGTAGGCACCGAAAGAAACCAACTTCTTATCGTTCCTGGTCTGTGAGGTCGCCTCTCACCGGGTCCGTGAGGTCGCCTCTCACCTGGTCCGTGAGGTCGCCTCTCACCGGGTCTGTGAGGTCTCTCACCTGGTCCGTGAGGTCGCCTCTCACCTGGTCTGTAGGACCGCCTCTCACCGGGTTTGTGAGGTCGTCTCTCACCTGGTCCGTGAGGTGGTCTCTCACCTGGTCTGTGAGGTGGCCTCTCACCTGGTCTGTGAGGTGGCCTCTCACCTGGTCTGTGAGGTCGTCCTCGGTGTCGGCCGGCGGCGGGCCCCCGCCCAGCTGCAGACCCACAGAGTCGTCGTCGGCGAACTGACGGCTGCCGATGATGTAGGGCAGCGGCCGGTGCAGGTACGGGTCCACCGGCTCTACCGCCAGCGGCAGGCTGAGAATAAATGGGATCAGAGTTATACAGTGGCCGGTGCAGGTACGGGTCCTCCGGTTCCACGGCCAGCGGCAGGCTGACAATAAGGGGGATCAGAGTTACAGAGCGGCCGGTGCAGGTACGGGTCCTCCGGTTCCACGGCCAGCGGCAGGCTGACAATGGGGAGGGGCGAGGGGGTCAGAGCGGCCGGTGCAGGTACGGGTCGACCGGCTCCACGGCCAGCGGCAGGCTGACAATAAAGGCGATCAGAGTTACAGAGCGGCCGCTTCATCCGCAGGTACGGGTCCACCGGTTCTACCGCCAGCGGCAGGCTGACGATGGGGAGGGGGAGGGGGTCAAAACGGCCGGTGTAGGTTAACATTCTACCGAATCCACTCCTTCTTTCGTTTCACTCTTGGTTTAAGCTCCACGCTTGACATAAAATTCACAACATGACAGCTACCACAAATAACCTAGCCCACTTTTTCAGGTCCTGTTTCCCGGAGCCCGCACTGTCCGTCCTGCCGCTGGACTCTCCCGTGCTATCAGCTCGGAGTCGGACCCACCTGTCGCTCGAGTCTCCGTCACTGTCAGAGTCCGAGACCTCCAGACGCTCGTAGGCCCGGTCCACCAGCTCCCCGCCTAGGGCCAGCGCCTCACACAGGCGACTGTGGGTCTCCTTCTGCGCGTCCTCCTTCGAGACGGTCTGACGACGATCAGCGGCATTAGTTTTTTTCAGCGGTTAGAAAGGACGAAAACGATACGTCACTTATAACTATTCTGTGTAGATTAAATTTCGATATAGGCACTGATAACACAGTTGTGACATTCGAGCTGTTTTGTTTATTTGCGTTTAGGGGCGAGTTTTGCATTGGCCAGTCGACGGCGAGGTAATTACGCGTACTGCGACCATATGATCCGCCTCATGTCAGCGGACCATGCCACTCTCTCCCATCACCGCAGCCAGAACCAAAGCCAACCATTTCAGTGGTAGCGTCCTCACTGGCGATCCCCGGACCCACCTGTTTCTCCGGCGCCGCCGCCGCCGCCACCGTCTCGGCACTGTCGTCCTCGTAAACCCGCGACTCGACAAAGCGGCTGTTGGAGACCAGCATCAGCTGCGTGGCGGCCGTCTGCACTCTGCACTGGGCGTCGGCCGAGTCGGCCAGCAGGCCGGCCAGCTCGGCCTTCACCTCCTCCGCCCGCGAGCACAGCCGCTGAGCGCAGAGAGACGCGGTCAGAGCGTCACAGCCGCTGAGCGCACAGAGACATGGTCAGAGACAGAAGGTGGAGACTGGTTACCCTGCTATTGGTGAAGCCATAAAAGGAGAATCAGACGCATATAAGGGGGCAGGACATTGTGGGTGATTATGCAACTGGGAAGTTGTTGTCTAATACGCTCATGATCAAATGCTCTGAGCCTGAGGTATCAGATAAGCATTGGTACTTTACAGCCTGCCACAGGTGCAGGGCCAAAACATCCAAAGGGTTATGAAATATTCAACCATTCAACCATCTCATTCAAATGAAAACAAAGTTAATTGAATAGATACTTATCTTAAATAAAAATAAGCAGAAAATTGTAAGTAATTCATATAATACTGACCTCTGAGAATGATTGCAAGGTGGCCAGAAGGCCCACATCTGAGGCCAAGTTCCAGTCATTGGCCCTTTCTCTGATCTGGTCGGTTGTCAGCGGTTTGTCTCCACTGACTGGAGGACTGGCCATTGCCAGTTCTGCTCCTGATCACACACTCTGTGCCTCAACAGGGGCGTAGCAGCTGAAAATGAGACACTGACAGCTATATGGTCTGTTCCCTTTTGATCCACTCATAGTGATCTGTGATATTGATATTTATTGAATTAAATTCATATGTTCTTCTTGGAACTAATTTGAATTAAGGTGCAATGCTCCAATCCTACCTGCAGCAAATATTGGTTGGAAGGTACCTATAGTAGGTAGAATTTTTTAAGGCTGCCCGATCGTTTGAGGTGCACCAATGAATACAGCACGGGACGAGCAATAGGAGTGAACAGAAAGTCAAAAATAATTAGTGAAATCAAGAGTAAGATGATGCTTTCACCTGAGGGGTGTTCACGGGCACCGCACACTGCTGCGTGCGGTGTGTGCGGTGCGTCCAGCAGGCGTGGGGGTAGGGGATGGGTAGGCGGTTCTGACGTCACGGCTGCGTGCGGTGGACGGTCCGCTGTGGCCAGTCCCAACCGGCCACAGTGATCGCTGTGTGCGGTGACGGAAGGCTGACGTAGGGACGAAGTGGGCGGAGCTTCGAGGCTGTGTGCGGTCCGACCGCACATAGGGCCCGTGAACAGCCCTCTGGCTTAGGGTTAAAGTATTGAGGCTTCAGCGCACTTTTCATTTAAGCTCTTTAAGCGATTCCAGGCTTAAAAATCCGACTATTCCTATGAGTCGAGACACTAGAATCAGAATCCCCCAAAAATGGGTAGCCTTCAACCTCTGGAGGTTGAAGGCTACCCATTTTCTGGACAGAAATGGGAGTGGTTTTCTACAACTGCACGGATGTAACCACTAATTTCACGCTTATATTGCATAATTTGGATATACCCGATATACCCCGACAAACCACCTTAAAATCGAAGAAATCGGAAATCCAACCAACAGATCGACGGTAATCAACAAATAATGCATGATGCAGATGCAGTGCTATCTGCTAAATGTTTCCTTGATTTGACAGAAGCTTAGAAACGACGTCATTAATTACTTTGCATTGATCAGTATCTTGACTCTTGAGCAAATAAAGATACTTTTAACAGTCAAAAAGTGCTTGCTATTGATCAATCTCCTTTAAATCATAAAATTTTATTTACTGATCAATATTTAATCCAAGAAACAGCACCAAACTGTCTTTTCATAAGCGCCCAACGCATTTTGATTTGTCCCTGAGTATTGACGTCATTAGCTCTAACATTTGCTGTCAGTTGTCTTCATTGGAATCTCCACTGTCAAATTGAGGCTACCTTAACTGCCAGTGATTTGTCAACATTTGAAAGTTTGCTGTTTATATTTGGTACACGTAGAACTTTGAGAATCATTGCCGGTCTGTGTCAGTCGTGTTTGATCAATATGACGTTAAACTGATGAATGACATGAATCGGAAATCGGTAGTCTTTATCTGAAGCTCCTGCAGCTCTGCGCCGTAAACGTCATAGCTGCGTCGCAGAAGGCATGCCGGCTAAATTTAATTATAAAATGCTTTGAAAATCATCAAATCCTTAATCGTTCCAGCATTTCCATCCTCAGGACAGTCATATTGAAGGCCCTGTACACCAGGTCAGATCCTTTACTATACGTCGAAACCTCCGGTCCTGTTCGGGCATGGATGGGCAACAATCTCATGCCACATGCGGGAAGCACCACTGAATCCTGACCCATAGGAGCAGTTACACATGATTCATGGTTCATAATTATTGTTGCTGTAGCTCTAAGCAGTAGAGTTTTCCAGGGTTATAAGAGATATGTGTGGATTTAAATGCCTCGCACTTGTAGGGGGTCAGAGTCAGACTCAGATGGTCAATGGACCCCGCTTGCTTTTTGCAAATAACTCGTGCTTCAAGTGGATGATCACAGCGAAACTTTCAGTACCCTCAAGTTGATCAATTTTACACCAATCCTGAAAATTTTATGAAACTGACCTAAATGACCTTTGACCTTTCACCTTTTTCTCAAGAGCATGTTTGGCCGGAATCGCAATTCTGAATATGTGAGCTTACATTATCTGCACGTTTCCCGTCTTTTTTTGACTGTAAATGCTCAAATATGTGAAATAATGTTGGTCCCATTCCCATGCATTATGGTGGGTGTCAACCATCACCACAGGTCATGTGGTGATGGTCAGGTCAAGGCCATTGGGCATTGGCATTGACCTTTGATGACTGTGGCTCACTTTTTAAAGCTTTACATGCTTCTAGGGTAGATTTGGAGCTGATTTCGAATTCAGCATCTGTTTGAACACTCACAATATAGTTTTAGTGCCTTTGTGTTTCATAACATCTTATGATGCCATTAGCAGTTGTTAACACCTACTATGGATAGCTGGCAGGAGAGGAGGCCTACTAATTGACCTGACCTGACCTGACTCGTCCTGGCCTGGATGCATGAAGAGTGAAGACATCATCTGTAATCAAAACTAACATGAAATTAGTGATCAGCAGACAGCACCCCTAAAAAAACAACAGCTTCACTTTGAGAAGTTCTAGCGGGCCCCGATTTTCTCGACTTTTGGGTCATTAACCTGACCTGGAAGGTCAATCAATGACCCAGGACCTTAAAGTTGGGTATCAAAGGCTACCTGTCGTCACCGGCAACACGCTTGTTTTTTCCGCGAAGCTCTAGCTCGATCAGGGACCGAACTGCAGGGGGTCCATCCAACCGACCCCCCTCCCCCTACACATCAAACGTTGGAAAACGCCGCACACAGGCGAGGGGTCAAATAGCACATAAGTAGCTTTTGATATGACAGTGAGCTCCATGATCACTGGAGTCATCTGATACCAGTGCACTGCGTTGTTGTTTCCATGCATCATTTATTCATCATGCATTGTTTCAGATGGCAGGAGAGATGGACAAGGAAAGAGTGGGTTCCTGGGAGCAGAAATGGTCAGAGGGAAAAATCAACTTCCACAAGCAAGAAGTGCACCCTGACTTGAAAAGGTGGTATGACAAGCTCGTTCCCGATGATCGCCCCAGAACGGTTCTGGTGCCACTGTGTGGCAAATCTGTGGATATGATGTGGTGAGTCAAACTTAGCGATGAGTCCTGTCTCAGTGATAGGAAGCTTCAGACTGGAAAGAAGTAAGCTGCTGCTCCGTCTCCAAAATTACGTTTGGCTTAGACCCCTTATGTCCGTGCCCAAAGGAGGCATTGGAGCTGGTCGGGACGACTTACGAACCGCTTCGTTACCTACGTCTTTTAAGATGTTATGTTTTATCTTCGCATTGTGTGAGACACGCTTAACTTTCGGCAAAAGTTATTTTCGATTGATTCATTTAACATGAGGTTAAATTGGCTTCCAATCATTTGTTTATTTTTTCGTGTTTCGGTCTAAATTATTTATCGATGATTCGTTGAACATTCGATATAAATTGCTTCCCGATCGAATGAGTGGCAGAAAAGGAACTAATTTGTGTCTGTCTGGTGCTGCACAGTGCACAAGTTCGGCTTATCAGGCACAACCGTTGAGTCTAGGTAGCATTCATCTATAAATTACGATTTTCTGACGAAGGCTGGACCTGACTAGAAAGCAAAAAAACTCAGGACGCTGAAAGGGTAACTGATAACAGTATTGTTTCTGATATTAGGTATCTAAATATCCCAGCACGGACCATTCCGAGTCTCGACACGTCTTCCTCAGACACTTGCATGGTATGAGGTCTGAAGTCTGTTTAGCACTGTACCCTATTTGCTAATGTATTTTAATGCTGAATCTTTATTTATTTTCAGGTTACATTCAAAGGGTCACACTGTGATTGGAATTGAGTGTGCTGAGAAAGCAATCCTCGACTTTTTCGCGGAAAACAAGCTGGACTTTACTACATCCTCAGTTCCCGAAGCAACATTGTATCAGGTAAGCAGGGCCTTGAGGTAAGCATTGTATGTTGCAGAAGAGTACGTATAGATGTCGCCATCAGTGCTTCAACTTGTGCATGATGCAAAACTTCATTGCATCCATTGCGGGCAGTGGTTGACTGTTGAATCTAAACGTGAAAATACCTTTGTTCTTCGCTCTACCTAATACACCTTCGTCCTTCATCTCATCTTGTATGTTCCCAGGTTGCTTGTAACAGTTATTGATTGACGGTTCACGGCATCGTTGATCGGATTTTTTATCTCCGAGTTCTTCCTAAACCGTTATCTAACCGTGGCTTCCCTGGACCTGCAGACGGCGGACGGCCGACTCCGGCTGTACCGTGCTGACATCTGTCGGCTGAGCGGAGAAACTATCGGCGCCGTGGACGGGATCTGGGACCGTGCTTCGTACGTGGCAATGAACGTGGAAGATAGACCCAAGTAAGAATGGTGCGGTCTTAGCACAAACATGGTTTCTACTTTGCAGCTGATGCAATGCAACACTCGCAGCTAGCAGAATGCGTTAATTTGGTGAGAGGGAAATCTGTAAAACGAAATGGCGACTCGCTTCAGTAATGTGCATCCGTTGACTTATCTGTGCCCATTACCTATGACTTGTTAATAAGTATTTTTGGGAAGTTGAGCTTGTGACGAGCTGTCAGTTGACGGTTATCGGCGCGTTGGCCAGGTACGCGGCGCTGCTGCGCTCGGTGATGGCGCCCGGCTGTCGGTACCTGCTCAGCACGGTCGAGTATGGTCCGTGCGAGTTTCGGGGCACGCCGCGCAGTGTCACCCCCGCCGACTTCCGACCAGAGTTCGGTGAGTGGCGGGGAGAGGGGGTGCAGGTAGAGTATGGTGTGAGAGCCGAATAATGTTAGACGAGGTTAAAAATCAGTGTACAGTTGTTACCGGTAACAGTATCGTTTGAGAACAAAGTGCGTCGATTCGGTGTGTGTTATCTCGCTTCATGCGCTGACTTACGGTTAGTTGTGGCGTGGGAGGCGTCGACAGCGATATCGTTTTACGTTCATGTGCGCTTATTTAACGAACCATCGATGGACGGTATCGGCATGGTACCACTACCGGCATAGTGCTAGCGGTATCGGTTGCTCTTATTTGACACTTGAAAGTTTCTATTGATAAGAGCTTTCACGGTGATGCAATGAATCAGTGACAAAAGAAGTACCTTCCTGCAGATTGTACAGAAAGGCACTTTTTGCCATCCGCTTATCCACAGCCCCGTCGCAATAATCTCACGTCACGCAATGTGTCGCCTTTCTACACCGTGCCTGTATCACGACTGACACGTTATACGGTGTCTGTGCTGGTTTGCAGAGTCTGTGGCGGATATCGAGCACATGTACTCGCACCCCCAGCCGGACGATCTGCCGCCGGGTCTGCTCCGCTGCAGCCCGGCCGGCCTCCAGGAGAACCTGTACCTCATCGTGCGACGGTAGACGCCGCAGGGGCCGGGGTGGTAACCGCGGTAAGGCGAGCGGGAGTGCCGTGAACCGTGCTAGTTGGGCAGGCACAGAGACGGAATAATCGTACGATGAACCTGTGCTAGGGCGGCTCAGCCCAGTGCCTTCGGTAAATGGGACCAATGGGAAGATGTGCCGTGTTGTTAAAAGCCGAGTGTCGAAGATGATGTGATGGTGCGTACATTTGATTTTGTTATAATTATCTCTGTACTTTTTGTAGTGACGGAATCAGTTTGTATAAGGTGCATGCGCGGAGCGGAAGGCGCGACAGCTCAAACCAATGCCTTAAACCACCTTAGACGTTTGACGTCGGCATGCCCACTAGTCAATAGGACGTTTAGTTCGTTGAACTGTAATTGACTTATCGCGGCTTATTTTCCTGTCTAGGTTCTCTTCACCCCGGTCGCTGGTCAGTTATAATCTGGCTTGCGGAGGTAGTAAGTCTAAATGGGCTACGCCCGAGACCTGGTGCTCCATTAGTGTTACCTGCTATTTTGGCAGTGTGCTAAGCATTGTGATTCTATGTTACTGTTATAGAATTGAGTGATGCTGTGATGCGTGCTTTTTAGGACGCATTACATAATACCCAGGGACGGCGTACGGTACTTGTTTCAAACAATGCACGCCCAATGTTCATACAGTAAATATATTTTTGGTCGTTTATCCGTCCCCCTCACCTATGTAACAGATCATGTATAAAATCGCATTCTGCAATTTGCTCTGGTTGATCTTGCCAACTGAGAGTTATGCAGCTGTTTACATATTCTACGATTACCAGCACCGTACCAAAACCTGTAGGAAGACTGTGGGGCCTGACCGGCATGCGAAGATTGTATGTTCGATTACTGATGAAAGACATCGAGTGAACATCAGCGAAAACACGTGTACCTGGACGCTAACGGTGTGGCTTTGACTTGGAGATGGCAGTCACTTCACATCACCTTCTGGTGCTGTAAACTTTATTGAATACACCTGATCACTTTTGATTATATCAAGAATGTAACATTTTAACAAGAAACATTTATTGAGATAGAATATGGCAAGTGGTAACAATGAAAGCATTGTAGTGGGTCAGAATAAGTCTGGCCCCATTCATACACCTCTGGATCATGTGACCATTTGCCAAGGATCAGCTGTCTCATTTGGAATTTCACATGGTCTACGTACATTTGTTCTTTAAAAATATAAAAATACATAAAAAGGGAGGACACAATCTGGAGATAAGCAGGTACTCACTACATTAATGATGATATAACTGTGTCCCGGGAGTTAGGACAGTTCAACCTTACAGCTGGGTTTGTTCTTTTCCAATTGTTGGGTTGGCATTGTCACCCAGGAGGTTCTGCGAGGAGGAGAAGAATGGGCGAAGTGAGGGCTTTGGTGTCGAGCTGATGCTCATGGTGTCGATCTCGGGCTCAGAGTCTGAAGCGTACTCGTCCAGCTCCTTCAGCAGATCAGCGATCTCCCTCTCCTCGCCGTCAAACTTGGGATCCATGTCCTGGTCCTGGTCCAGCTCCTGCAGACCCTCGGACACCTTGAATCGCTTCAGAAGTGTCATAAACTTCTCCTTCAGGTTTCTCTGCCTCATGTTTGAGCCCATGTGCTTGGAAGATGGGGGCTTTCCTCTGGCATCAGGGATCTGCTCAGAATCAGAGCACTCATCATTGGTGCTGTACTCTTCCTCTTCTTCTGAGTCATACCTGTAGGGCAGGTCCATGTTCTTGGGCATCTGCATTTCTTCCTGTTCTGCTGGCTGACTGACCAGCGACTCCACACTCAGGATGGCAGCCAGGGTCTGACGCTCCTTTGGGTCCGAGTACAGCATCAGGTCTTTGTCCACTGACTTCTGCAGGATTTGTGACATGTTGATGACACCAACAGACAGTGTCTTGTACCCCAGTATGGTTCTGTTTTTGTACCTCTTGCGCCTCTGCAGCATGATCTGCAACTTGTTACCCTCTCCTTTCAAGAAGTGAGGATACTGGAGAGAAAATGTTAAATCCAGCTCAGTGTCAATAAGGCCATTGCTTTGTAAAGGAATTTCATTTGACCTCAAGGTTCTTTTGGCACTCTGCATCTTCACAGCAATCAGCAATGACCCCAAGTCCGAACTGACTGGACGAACAACCTTCAGATGGGCCAGCTTCAGGGTGCACTGCCTTGCAATGCAAACTGGGGATGTTCTTTCCACTTCCCAGGTTGCAAATAACCTCATTGGGGTTGGCTTAACCCCATCAGCTGTTGACACTTTAGATGGTTTCTCTGCCATTTTTGTTCCTGCTAGCAAATAGTATGAGCTACAAAGAACTTACTGCAACAATAATGGCACCATTCAAAACACACTATTGCTGCTGAGCATCTCTGGGTCACTGCCAACACTGCCAGTGACGTAATGTTGAGAGTTTGAGTTCACTTCAGGTACGCGTGGTGCAGACAGCTTTCACCTTCAGCTATGAACAGTTTATACGGAAACAGCTGTGGCATCTATCCTTAGCACCTCAAAATTCAAATACAGTCATGCACAAGCATGCTAATATGCTAGGAAGGTAGCGCCTGTAGCAGATTGCTCATTGGTTGACTTCCATCTCAATCTCAATCTTCCGAGTAGCCTCTTTGATTCAAACCCTATCTTCACTGTCTTTGGCTTTGCATTGGATGAATGCTTGAAGGCGTTTGTTTCTGACACTTTCCAAAAAGTTCGATAAGTAGCAGAGGAAACACACGACCGAGATGAGCAACCAACACCACCGAAGGACTTGGAAGGGCTATAAAAAGCGAATTTTGATATCCAATGCGAAGTGCACAATTCGTGAGAGAAAGAACTTGTAATTGAACAAGGTTTGGGCATTCAATTCTTGTCAATTTCAAGAAATATGACGTCACATTCAAAGATAATGTTTGTTTTTCCTTCTAAAAACGTAATTAAACCTTTTAAAATACAAAGCTAATAGCATAATTTTTTATAACATTACAAAGAAAACAAACATAAAAATTAAGATCATTTTTTTATATGACGTAAATATACCGGGCTGTTTTCGACTGTAATACAAAAACTACGCCACAGAGATCTTCCTGGCGCAATTCATTAGCTCGCTTCCGTGTTTGAAATCAACAGAAATCAATTCAGTGTGCTATGAGCAGTGGCGGCGGGAGGTATTTTGGGATGGGGGGGGCACACCTGATCCTTCCCGGAACCTAGGGTACCCCCAAATCTAGTTTTCTCACCGGTTTTAGGCCACTTATTTTTCACCTCTTGGCCTTTACAACAAAAATAAAAAAATAAAACATTTGCAAATAAGTGAGATAATTAGTCTCATCTGAGTCAAGAAACTACCTTTTTGGTAACCTGGGATAAACGTTTAAAGCTTCCACACATGAGCTGTCAAGTCAGGTACGGGGACCCGCAGTTGCTACTGTACAGCGACCCTGAGTAAATTGTCCCAGCACCCTCACAGGGAACAACGATAAGCTGTCAGAGGGCACGCACAGAAAACCTCAGCTGCTCTTGTGCAGGGACCGGCAGTCGATATCAATGTTATCGGTTGTTACTGGACAGGACAGACGGCTAGAGTTGGGGTTCGTGTACAATAGCAACTGCGGGTCCCCGTACAGAGGGGGATTTTTTTACTTAAATAGGTATTGTCTTCCATTCAGCTTTTCTTTGAGGCCCTCGGCCGCTAATATGGGGAGGACAAGCTGCCCCGACGGTTCCTGGCCCTTTGAAACTTTGCGGGGGCAGAGACCCCCACGGCCCCAGAGTTGTGGGGCAGGCTGCCCCCATGCTGCCCCCCGGCTCACGCGCCTATGCCGGCTGGCGTCTGGCAGAGTCGCGGGGAAAGGCCTGTGGCACGCTCAGACGCACTTTCGTGACGTCCGTGCCGCCTGCCGGGCCACTCGCGTTCCGTCCTACTCTTCCAGACTTCGGTTACCGGTAGCTCGTAGATAGCTCTGCTTGATTTCTGAGCATTAGGGGAGACCCGGGAGGTATGGGCCCCCTGGAGGTATGGGCCATCGCAGTTTTGAAGAAGTGTTGCGTATTTTTTCACATTTGACGGCGTTAACTGTTAGCAGCCATTTCATTATACAGCCCACGCGATTTTCAAAATCTTCCTCAGTCTTCTTTGGCAATGAGCGGTGATAAAGCGTTTTTGCCCTCTCCGAGTAAAATACGGTAAATACAGAAAATTCGTAATAAATTTGAGCCAGCCTCGTTTTTTATGTCAGACCATCGCTAACATAACGTTTAGAGCATGGAAATTATGACTGGATAGACAATATGAAGCTTTCTTGCAAGATTATGAGCTGAGATGCTACGCACATGCTGGCGTCCTAGCCGGGAGGTTCGGGCCACCGACCCCCGTTGATCCTAAATAAATGAAAAGATGCTTTCATGGAATGAGCCCGTCAATAAGTTTTATTTTTGTCGCGCAGGGTCGAAAATTTAACTTCAAATTTCATTCGAACAGAAAAATATTATTGATCTTATATGATGGTGTATGATTGATTTTACCAAAATACATATGGGCCCAAGTGAACTCCATAAAGTAAGCTGTTGGCCGCTTATGCGGTTCCTGGGCTCTAGAGAGATCAAGGTAGATACCAGCCACGAGTATTCTTCTAATTGTCGAGAAAAGAATATGAAACATGGCACCGGCCCATACCTCCCGGGCCATGGCCCATACCTCCCGGTGTATTTTGATGGATCGAAAAAGCACATGATTTATTGAAAGTTATCTTGAGACAAAATAGTTGATCCCAGATGCATAATATCAGGCACACGTTGCAGGCGAAAGGCAATTTCACGTACACAAAGTGAAAAACCGGGTCTAGCCACTGCCCACTGGAAGAAAATTGCCTTTTCACAAAACCGGCCCATACCTCCCGGGTCTCCCCTATGTGTGGAGGGCGTTTGGTGGAAATAGTCCGTCACGGACTAGCTCGCCGGATAGCCCGTCGTGAAAACGGCTATTATCAATCCAAGTTACTCGCTATATCAACTTAATAAAAAGGTACTCAGCCAAACTGGCATATGTTCCTGACGTAGGTAGTATGGAAGTATTGTGGTACTTCGTCGATAACAATTTTTGGGGGGGGGGCAAAAAGATATGTTTGCCCCCCCCCCCCACCCTGGAAGATGGGGGGGGGCGCCGTGCCCCCGCTGCCCCCCCGCTTCCGCAGCCACTGGCTATGAGCGGTGTGTCAGTTATTCTTGAGTTATTCGGTATATAGGGTTTTTGAGCGAAGCTGCTGCGCGCCCTAACTCTTCAACAACAACAACAACAACAGGTATATAGGGCCTTGAGTTATTCGTAGTTTACTGAATGCACGGTGACTGAATGATTTCCCTTTTTGATAGGTAATTTGCATTTGAGATACACACGTGAGAGGTGGCAAGGAATTTGAGTATATTTGCTACCACTCCAGAGTCCATTTTTTGTTTGGATGCCTATGTGGTTGATGCTGACACCGGCGGAGCGGTGTAGTGTAAAGGTCGCCGTCCTCTGGTTAGGCACGCACATTTACATGCTGAATTTTACATTGAAGCCCATGCCCATGGGCTGCTCGCTGACTGCAGTTCAGTGCCAAACTGTCATGAAGCACAGCAGCTGATTATTTGTTGGCTGGTCGGCGCAGAATTACGTGCTGATGAGTTGATATAGGTAGGTAATTGAACTTTTCAGCATGTCCTAGGCCCTGAAGGATTGCGTGCTGAATGAATGCGCGCCTAACCAGTTGACGGCCACCTTAACTCACAGTTACCAAATCCCCCTTAAAATCTTGAGTGTTTTCCTTTTCCAATGTTACCTATGTCTCTCATAATTTCATTGAAAGATATGTAGGTTGTAGGTTGTAGGGCTGTAGGTTATGGGTGGGTTGGCTGCTTAGAAGGTAAGTAGGTAAGATTAGGTCAGGTTAGATTGTGTTGTAACTACTTGGACTTCATCTTCACATTTTCCAGAAGTCTGCTTAGCAGGCTCTGTTCTTCTATTTGAAGGTGGGATATAAATGTATAAAAGATCAAAACAAAACCAGCAGGTAAATGTTCAGTTCATTTCATGTTCATTGTACAGTGTGAGAGATTGCAATTGTTACATAACATTAACATTTCATGATCACATTTTGGTTGATGTGTACAAGGTTTGTGGCCTTTATGGATCACTGAAGTTTATTATAATGTGACATGCATTCTCTTAATCAGCAGTCAGCATAGGTATACCTTCAGTCATTCACCCCAGTTTTCTAGTATGGCATTGTTTCATGAGTTTTACTTCAAAATCTTGATTTAGGTTTTACATGACATGCCATAGTGCTTTAACTAATTGTTCATTATTTTCCCTTCATTGTCTTTTGTAGTTGGTTTCAGTTTCAGTTGCTGGTGAAAATGAAGCTATGAACACAGTCACAGGCCACAGTCCAGGCCCCACTCATGTCAAACAATAAGATAAAACGTACCCTTAGTTACCTACTTGGCATTTTTTCCAGTTGCAAGCGCTGGTGACATTTTCTGATATTTGGTGACATTTTCTGTCGATTTAGTTGGCATGTTTGCTTTTTATGTTACACTCTCAGTGCTCACACATTCCAATGACCCATGATGACTAGCATAGAAATTCATGGTTTGTTCTAAATTCTGATTGCTTTCAGAATCGATATTCTAAGCAATTATTGTTCTTTTCAATGTTGATATTTCAGTGTGCCTCACCGAAGGACATCAGAAGTGTCACAGCCAGCCTTCATCACCCCCACCTCTCTGGGCGTGCTCTGAGCGGATATGGCGCCCCGCAAGGCCCGCGCGCCCAAGGCGGCCGCGCTGCCGCCCTCGCTGCCGGCCGGTCTGGTGGTCACCGACCTGACGCGGCGCACCTGGCGCATCGGCGCGCCGGTCGGCTCCGGCGGCTTCGGCCTCATCTACGGGGCCACGGCCGAGTCGGCGCCGCCGGCCGCCGGCGCCCAGTACGTCATCAAGGTGGAGAGTCACGGCAGCGGGCCGCTCTTCTCCGAGATGCACTGCTACATGCGCGTGGCGCGTGCCGAGACGATCGCCGCCTGGAAGAAGGCGCACGGTCTGAAGAAGTTCGGGATGCCGCAGTTTGTCGCGAGCGGCTCGTTCGACCACGGCGGTCAGAAGTTCCGCTTCATGGTGATCGAGCGGTACGGCACCGACCTGCAGAAGCTGCTGGAGCAGAACAACCATCGCTTCCCCATGGCCACCATCCTCCACATCGGCATCCAGGTGGTGAGTGAACAACCGACGCTGCCTTATCTAGCCGGCCAAACGTGTGCTGACTGCTGACCAATGAGACATTACAGCCATGACGGTTTTCCGACTCATCAGCCACTAGCGGATCAAGTCAGAATGCATAATGCTCTCATTATATCCCAAAGATCGTCAGAATGCAGAATGTTCTCATTATATCCCAAAGATCGTGATGTGATGGATCATCCGATGTGTCATTTCTTTCAGTTGGATGTTCTGGAGTTTCTCCACAGCCAAGAGTACATCCATGGTGACATCAAGGGCCAGAACCTCCTGCTTGGGCTCGATAAAGACACAAAAGACTTGGTAAGTACGCTTCCATCCACTCTGCATGACTGATCTTGTGGACCCATAATATCAGAGACATGTTTACCTATCACAGGGATTTTCTGTTCAAAATTAGATTCAACGTTCTCTGTCGGTTCCAATATCCGTGCCGTTCATAAGGTTCTCCTTCGCCCACGCACAGGTGCACCTGGTCGACTTTGGCCTGGCGTGCCGGTACGCCTTCGACGGCGTGCACAAAGAGTACAAGCCGGACGTGCGGAAGGCGCACAACGGCACCATCGAGTTCACCAGTCGGGACGCGCACATCGGCGCCCAGTCGCGGCGCGGCGACCTGGAGATCCTCGGCTACAACCTGCTGCAGTGGGCCAGCGGCACGCTGCCCTGGATGGACCGGCTGCAGAACGCCGAGCGGGTGGCAGACGAAAAGAACCGGCTCATGGCTAACGTCCCGGCACTCGTCAAGGCCTGCTTCAAGAACGGGATGCCCAAGGGAGCCGGTGAGTGATCGGGGAGACTGTGTTGGGCACAGGGCGATGGGAGGGGGTGACGGGAGATGAGGGTGGACGCTGGATTGTGGGGGTAGTGAAGGACGCTACTCTGCTGATTGGCTGTAACCAGGCCAGTGGCAAGATGTCCCGTAGGCAGGCTGTCCGTCCACGTCCAGTCTATTAGTATTTGCTGGCTCATTGCCTTATCATGATCGGTTTTACTTATATCCTTATATTACAATATAATTCGGCTTTATCGGACAGTTTCGTGGTCTTTATTGCCACTGCTTTAGCGAATTGCAATGTCACTTTTGTCACATTTTTATAAGAATTTCAAAATTGGAATTGGGAAGTACACTTGCGCTATTAAAACTGCTTTCTCTTTCCGGTGACCCGAAGGCAAAATAACAATAACACAATCAGGGTCATGTCATGTATACAACATCCCCTTTTGCTACTGTGAGACCACTGTCGCCCACTCGCTCACTGTCTCACCGTTTCACCCTTGTGTTCCATCCCAGACACTCTGCAGCGGTTCCTGGCGGCCGTCGCCGCTCTGAAGTTCGACGAGCAGCCCAGCTACTCCGCACTGCGCGGCATTCTGCAGGCCGGGCTCAAGTCGCTCGGCAACCCGCCCGCCCGGCTGGTCTTCGCAGCCGACTCGGTGAGAATTTCTGTCACGGGTTCCTGTCAATCTGAGAATGTGTTACGAATGCATCTGATGGATGGATGGATGTTTTTGTTTTTTGGGTGTGTGGTGTTTTATGAATATATTAGGATAATGGGTGAGCAATATAATTTATGCGGTGTGATCATCGTAATAAATCAAGTATTATTCCTTGAATGTGCAGGTGACCCACCGTGCTCAGTACTGCTGCCTGAAATAAATTCCAACGCACACTAGTCGTCCCTTTGTCCGGCTTGACCTCCCTTATCTCCTCTCCGCTCCAGGACGTGTCGAGCCCGCGGTCGTCGGGCCGCGCCGCCCGGGACCGCTCTCCGCTGCACACGGACCAGGAGCCGGCCACGTCTCGCCGCCGGCCGGCCGCCGCCGCCAAGAGAGGAGGCCGGGGACGGGGCCGCGCCGCCGCCGCGTCCTCACACTCTTCCTCCGAGGGAGAGGAGGAGGAGGAGGAGCCGCCCCCTCAGCCGCTGGTGAACGGTCGCGGCGGAGGAAAGGGCGCGAAGGGAGGCGCGCGCGGAAAGAAGAGGCCGTCCGAGGAGAGTATGGAGGAGAACGGGGCGGGGCCCGGACGCAGCAGCGGCGCCGGGAAGAAGGCCAGGATGAACGGCAAGGTGAGGAGACTGGGAGAGGAGGGGAGGGAGGTCAGAGGGAGGAGAGGAGCGGGAGATCAGAGGATGATGGAGCGGATCGGGGTGGAACGGGGAAAGAGGGCGGCTTTGGAGGAGACTTTTGGGCGCATGGCCCAATGCATTCGTTCACTCGTATTTATTTCGCATCAAATAATGTGTTTTGTGTTTTAACACGCGCAGTGGAAGGGGGGGGGGGCGGATTTCGCCCACCCCTCCTGTTTTTCGCCAATAACTCGCGCCGCAAGCATAATATCAATGTGAAATTTCGGCTACCTGTCCAGAATTGAACTGCGGATCTTCTCGTGCAAGAAGTAAGAAAATCGGTTCACAACTTTTCTAGTAATAGCGGTGTAAAGTCAAACATCCTGCCGCCGCGGCGTCGCGGCGGCGCGGCGGCCGGCGCTAGCCGTTACGCGCCGCCTGAATTGTAGACTGTGCCGGGGCGGGACGGTTCCGTCCTTACATCGCGCTCCTTACCGCTGATTATATTAGATTCGCGTCAAATTCGGTGAGAAGACTGAGAAATGTACAGGCAATCATATGGTCAAAGAATTTTGAAAATCGGCCGGTAACAACTTGAGTTATGAGTGTGTAAACACAAAATTGTGATTGCCGCGTTTCCCGCGTCGGCCGATGCCGCTTCAGCCGGCGACATCTTACCCTTCGCAGGCTTCTAACTGCCATATTTATTGTTGGATTATCTAGAAATTCACCATACATACTCACAAATGTTTGTTCTTTCGTATAGTGAAAGATTTTAAAAAATCGGCCGGTAACTTTTTGAGTTATCGGCGTGTAAACGCAAAAAAGTCGCTAATATGGCAAATTTGACCACATTTGACCTCATTTGACCTTGAAGATATTGACCTAGGGTCATGAAATTCACACACAACAGAGTTCCCCATGGCCCCCACCTACCCTCCAAATTTCGTCTTTCTAGCTCCAGTGGGAGCTGAGATCTTAGGGGGGGGGGGGGGCGACATCCGGGGTGCACGTCAGAATAGCTAGTGACATTTGAGCTAGTGACTTTTGAACTAGTACAAAACAGCTAGTGCCTCAAAACAGCTAGTGACAAAACAGCTAGCGTCAAAATAGCTAGTGAAGCAAAATAGCTAGTGCTTAGAAACAGCTAGTGACAAAACAGCTAGCGTCAAAGTAGCTAGTGAAGCATAAAGAGCTAGTGCCTCAAGACAGCTAGTGACGAAATAGCTATCGTCAAAATAGCAATTTCGTTGGACCTCTGTTCCCTTCCCATTCACTTAGCTTCAAAAATGCAAGATATCTATGACTGTAAAGATGTATATTTCCCGCGATATGCCATCTCTTTAATTCCCCGGTGCCCCGCTTCTAATTTGTTGTTTGTCCTAGGGATCCCGTCCTCTGCCCTCCTAGCATTCCAAATAATTTTGTCAAACTACGGTGCTCTTCTGCTCCTTCTACCCGTGGGGACTCTTCGTCGGGAAAGAATCTATAATACACTGTAAACTCATTTCAACAAACGTTTGTTACTTTTACAAGGAAAATTATTTAGCGCAAATCCCCGCACCCTTTGCCATGTCATCGAACGACCCTATTGTTTGTCATGGTAGTTTTTCTTACAACCCACTCACATGTAGTTCGTTAGACTAGCTACCAAAGTTTGCTTTGTCATTGTTGTGTGAACGACTGTTTTCCTAGTTATAATCATGCGGCTACTAGGTAAAGACCTGCGCATGTTTGCATTCAACAGGGCTGAGCCGTGTTCTTGTTAAGCCAAATCAATGCAAATCTTAGTTAGCATAGTAATGTCTACGTGCAGCAAACCTGTACTTGTAAGCAATCTACTAGTCTCAGGTTTGTAACGTTTTACAAAGACCTCCCTTGTATTCGTCAGTTTTCTCCACAAATCGCAGGTCGCCGCTCTGCAGTCTCATTATTACAGCAAAACAGCATTACTGAAAGTAGGTCATGTATTTAAAATGGTACATACACATTACACACACAATGGTGATGACACTCATGACCCAAGGGGCAAGGGTAATAACGCATGCGATCAGATATGTACTGTGCAATTACACCGCTAACGGTGTTAATATTTTTCTGTGTGTAGGAACGGCTGGAACATTGTCGGTGCATGGGTGCAGAAATCCAGCCATGGCCGGTGAAGCCGGGGGGGGAGGGGGTAGGGAGCGGCACCCGAGCGGAGGCTCCTTGTGAGCTTTGAGGGTGTACCATGTCGAAAAGGTACCTACCGATGATAAGTGTATTTAGAAGCGTTGATAATGTCAATATTGACTACCGCAAAAAGTACCTAAATGCGGCTAACTTAGCCATTTTCGAAGATAGGTATCGGGCTAAAACTTTTGACAGTGGGTCATCGGTATGTGTTCAATCACATGTGTTCCGTTGCTTCCTTTTTTACTAGAGCGCAAATGTAAGTTTTGAAGACCATCACAGTAGCAAACGCTTCTAAAGGTGGAAAGTGGGCAAAATATCCTGAATTTGTTGTGCTGCATGGGAAGTAGTGTTGATGAGAAAAGGGGTTTTTGTTCCAGATTATTGTGGGTGCAGAATACATTGTCTGCACCCACTGGAGAATTATTGTGGGTGCAACTGCACCCACTGCACCCATGGTTCCTACGCTTATGACTAGCTATAATGAAGCACTAGCTATTTTGCTCTACTAGCTATATTGACGCTAGCTGTTTAGTCACTAGCTGATTTAATGCACTAGCTATTTTGCATTACTAGCTATTTTGGCGCTAGCTGTGTTGTCACTAGCTGTTTTGAAGCACTAGCTCTTTTGTACTAGCTCAAAAGTCACTAGCTCAATAGTCACTAGCTGTTTTGACGTGGACCCGACATCCGCCCCCCCCCCCCTTCCACTGGGCGTAGTACTCGCAACCCTTCCACTGCGCGTGTTAACTGCTGTCACTGGCTGTACTTCTTTCAGTAGGATGTTGGAACTGTTGATCGTGATCAACAGACCTGTGTTAATTGACGGCAGACCCTAAATATGCTATAATTCACCTCTTGTAAGAATAATTGTGTAGTAACTGACGCATGACATCACACGATCGGAATTGACACACAGCCATATCGCATATTAGCGCATCCATACCGCCGTAATTGCCAAATCGGCGCCGTTGCCCGCAGGCGGGCTCGGTGAGGTCCAGTGCCAACTCCTCCAGCACCGGCTCTATCTACGACAACATCAACCCGGCCATGCAGGAGGTGCTCGACAAGAGGGCCAAGGCCGCCGAAAAGGCCAAGGCCAAGGCGAAGCCGCCAGTGGCCAAGTCGAAACTGAAGCCGTCGGCTGCAACTTCCGCCGCCAGGTATGGTGCTTACTGCTTAGGGTGTTTGAGTGACGGAGGAATGAAATTTGCGAAATTTATGTATAAAGACGTCCTCAGTCATGCTCGCTAGCGTGTTCTCAGAGTTCAGCGTATTAACGCCTGTTTTAGATACGAATGAGCCTTCTCATGAAGTGTGATTTCTTTCTGAGTTAGCAATGTGCTTGGCCAGATCAGTTTGCTTTGTTGAGAAGCGAAAATCGTTTTTTTTTTTATACTAAGACCTATGAAATGAACATTCTGCAGTTTCTGTACAATGTTAGTACCTTTTCATTGTTGCATGCTGATGTATCGCGGTGGAGTTCGGCTGCCCGGTATGATTCCCCGTCCCGTTCGCAGTGGGGCGGCGAAGGGCCGGGCCGCGGCGGTGGCTGCCGACTCCCCCTCGGGCCGGGCGGCCGGCCGGCGGGTGGCCTCGCCGGGCCGGGGCCGCGCCGGCCGGCCGTCCGTCCCCGATACCAACGGGGACAGCGAGGACAGCTTCCACACGCCGTCGGGCGCGCCGGCCCCGCGGCGCAGCGGCCGACTGAGCGGCAGTGGCGCCCTCAGCCCGCTGGCGCAGCCCCGCCGGGCCATCCGCGGCGCCGACCTGTCGCCGGAGCTGTGGTGAGGTGCCGACAGGGCGCCGGGAGGGTCCGCGGTGAACCAGCGAACCGCCGACACTGCCGGGGAGGATCCTTGGTGAACTGGTGAGAGCCGGGTAGCTAAGGAGGATCCCTGATAACCTGTCGTGGCGCCGACCACTGAGGCTAGTTCTCACTTCACTGTGGACGGGTGAGCCGCTGCTCGGTGGAAGAGAAGACTCCGAGGCGCCTGCCAGGACGAGTGAGACATTCCGTTTGGTACTGGTGTGGAGCTGACGGCTGTGGATGGTCGCGGCCGCCGGTGGTCGACGAGCTGTGGTGGACGCTGTGGAGATTCAGCGCAGTGGGCGAGGATGGCTCAGTGCGGTGGAGATTCAGCGCAGTGGGCGCTGAGGTTCGTATGGTCGCACACGGCTGGAGCCTTGATGTGAGTTTCCCAGGGAGCAGTTGCCAAGACGCGGGATGCGATGACTGTGAAGTGGCTGGCGTTCGTTGCAAAGCCTAGCGCTGGGTTCTGGAGGTTCCTAACCGCCACCCGTTCGACTGACGACGCTGTGATGTGGACTGTCGTGAGGTGTCTAGTTGATCTGTGCAGTCCGCTTGGACGCCGGCGGGTCGGGTCGAGTGATTCCCGCGGCGGGCCGGGTACCACGGGTTACGGGGCTCGGTCCGCTCCTCACCCCGCCCCGTGACGGCCAGTGAGGCGGAGGGCGCCTCGCGACGAGCTTCGGGCGCGCCCGGAGCGCTCGGATAGCGCGCCGGGCACCGCGCGTTTCAATGTAGAGCTGTGATTTGCCGACTGAGGGTGTGATGCTCATTGCAAGATTCTCATTCCCATCGATGTGTCATTTTTAATGTCTAGAAGATATGTCTTCTTTTCTGCACGTATTCTTCAGTAGCTACTGTGCTAATAACTATGTTTTGCTAATAAACCTGTTTATGCAGTGTCGCATTCAGAAGGAGCATCGAAGAAGACGCGATTCACCAAAAGTTGGACGTCTTTCGCAACAATCAGACGGGTTTGACACAAACTCATCCGTTGTATCAAAAGATTTGTTTGACATCCTGAATGTTAGCTCCTAACTGCTTTCCCTTATTGCTTCACCTCAGAGTGACTGAGTTGTGAGCTGCTTCCTGTACAATGTTGTTTTTCACCGTGCGTATCAAACGTGGACTATGAATTTCACTTTCAGCGCGAGACTTCGCATTTTTTACGCTCCTGTCCTATACGTTGTAATAAAATGGCTTCGAAATGCAGATAATGGCGTGTATATGTCTACCAGAAACATTTTCTTGAAATGGTTATGCAAAGCGAGGTTATATTTACAAGATACGACCTTCCCGAAGCGGATAGCGGACTTTGTCGCCATGGAACGACATCCCGCCCGCAGAACGGTCTATTACAGTAGACGCTAGATGGGTCGTCCGATTTACAGACGGACATAGAAAAGAAACGTCCTTATCACATTAGCCCTCTTGGGAACGAATAATGACATCACTTACATGAATAGCATTATCAATATCAGCTCCGATAGGCGGTCAACTCATTACACGATCGTCTCGGTCTTGTCTCCCACTCATCCACACCGCTGCTCCAAATTCTCGATGTTTTTCCCTCCATATCCCTACGCCCTCTACCTCTTCACCCTCCGACCTCAGACGACCAGCCGCAGCCGTCAGCAGTTAGCAAACGTATTAACACGCAGTTTAATACAGTCCCCCTCCCCAATCAACACCCCCCACCACGTCCTCCGGTCACGACCCCCGCTCGTCATGCCGGCCCTCTCCTCTCCCCTCCCCCTCCCGGCGCGCCGCCGCGCCGTCCCCGTCCGTCCGTCCGAGCAGCCTGTCCAGCTGCCGGCGCCACTGCTGGTCGGACAGGCCGCTGGCCCACCGCTCGGCGCCCGGCAGACGCACCGAGCGCATGGCCCGCCGCACGGCCTCGGCCTGGTCGGCTCCGAGCGGGCCGTCCGAGCGGCCGGAGCGGGGCGGGGTGGAGAACAGGGCCAGCCGCTCCTGGGCCGCCTGCTTCTGCCGCTGCCGCTCCGCCTGACCGGGGGAGGATACAGTCAGATATCGCGGCTAGCACCAGATTGACGAACATAGAGAGGATTGCACGTAATGATCGCACGCAAGTGAGTGATGTGCTTCAGAGAGGTGAAAACCTTGCATGTTCGTTCACCTCAGTTGATTTCTATAGCTTGAGTAAAACGAGTTATGAGCCAATGTCTCTCTTCCGTCTGTACAATAATAATAGAGTTTCATTTCTTCATCCTCACATTTCTCCCTCCCTCCAAATTGACGGTTCGCCCGGTATCTCACCTCCATCGCTTCCTCGGGCCACTGGCTGGGGTCGGACTCCTTGGTCCTGGGCGCGGCAGCACCTGGAGCGCCCTCACTGACCAGGTCAGCGCAGGGGTCGGGCAGGTCACCGGCCGGGTCAGCCGGGTCATCGGTCGTCTCCACGGTGTTGACCCCGTGCCGCTCCAGGGCCGCCATCAGGTCAGCCACCGACTGAGGCTCGTCGTCGTCGTCGGCAGCGTCCGCGTCACTGGCGTCATCCTGAACGAAGTGGTGGTGACTCGTGAGGATGGATCGTGTCGGGAACAGTGGAGCCGGCGGTCAGAGGCGATATCTTACGCTACCGGCACAAAGACCTCGTACTTTTGAACTTCGAACCGATAGAATATTGCAGACGTCGATTTGGATCGTAAATGAAAACAATTTTCGAGTATGGTTGCTCGTGTTCCCCCAAAACTACGGGATTCTGCAATCTGCTGCTCGTGCGTTATATCAGACTAGTACGTCTCCGGACCCATGCATAACAACGCGCGCTCAGCTCTGTCTCCTCCATCGTTCATCTCTCCCAGCCCTCTTCATCCCCATTAACCACTCACGTCTGAGCTGAGGCCGTCGGGCACGGGCAGCGCGCCGTCCTCTGCGCGGCCGGCGGCGTCCAACAGCCGGTAGCCGTCCCTCTCCGGTGACGGCGGCGTCATCCCGTCATCGCCGTCATCGTCAGCGGGGGACAGCGGCCGCGGCGGCTCCGGCGGCATCCCGCTGCGCACGTCACACCACCGACGTCATCGTGACGTCACATCACTGACGTCGCTGTGACGTTACACCGCGGCCGTCAGTGACGTCACACACCATGACGTCACTGTGACGTCATGACGTCAATGTGACGTCACACAGCGGCCGTCATGAGTGACGTCGTACCGGGCAGATGGGTATTTGAGTCTGCAATGTGTTTTTGTGTGGTTCAATACAGCCAGCGGTGTAAATAAATGACGTTATGTTGGAACAGTGAACACGCTTACATTATTCGCGTTGGAAAATCAAACAATTCGTCTATAATAGCTTTCAAATATAGGCTATGAAGTACGAATCAAGATTACGTACGAATAGGTTTCAAAAATGTCGCTGAAAATAGCCTAACTTAACAGTCAGTTTCACATGTGAGTTGTTCAATTCACTCAGCGTCCACTTCGACTGTCCTCTACAGGCTCTTGAGCCTGGAAAAGAAGCGACTCAGTACTCTGTATGTATTGCAAAATACCTTCCGCATGTAAGTCACAAAAGCGATCCACATTTGTCAAAGTCCCGAAGACACAGCAAACCCCGATCATTCCGTTTCCATCTTCGCTGCGGACGGCTTCCGTTTTCGGACCCGCTTTTTCTTCTTTTTGGCGGCCCGGTCCTCGTCGCTTTTCCTCTTCTGCGCGTCGCCGGCGGGCCGTCCGCGCAGCTTGGCGGCGGCCTCCTCCCTCTCCGTCTCCACTGTGGTCTGCACCTGCTCCAGCGCCGCCACGTAGGTGGCCTCATACTGGCGCAGCTCGTCCAGCGGCGCCGGCGTCTCCCGCACCTGGCCGTCCGCCTTGCCCGCCTGCGCCATCAGCCGCTGGAAGTGGCCGCGCTGGCGCTCCAGCAGCAGCGTCACCGCCTGGCCGGGCCGGCCGGCGCGCGCCGTCCGACCCACGCGGTGGACGTATGTCTTCACCAGCGCCGGGATGTCGTAAGACACGACCGCGTCCACGGCGTCCACGTCCATACCGCGCGCCATAGCGTCCGAGCAGACGAGCGCCGCCAGCCGGCCGGCGGCCAGCTCAGCCAGCGCGCGCCGCCGCCGGCCGGCCGGCACCGCGCCGGAGAACTCAGCCACGCGCGCGCCCAGCGCCGATAGCAGCAGCGCCAGCCGGTGCGCCGCCTCGTTCGAGTTGACGAATACGAGCGCACGCTCCCAGTCGGGCTGTCGCAACAGGTGGTGCAGCAGCAGCGGCTTCAGCTGCGGCGCCACCACGCTGAAGGACTCGCTCAGCTCGGCCGGCGTGGTGAACTTGCCGACGAACTGGCCGGGCAGTGCGGCCGCGGCCGCCGTGCCGGCCACCATCAGCCGCGGCTGGAACAGTGACAGTCGCTCCAGCTTCTCCGGGTTTTGCGACAGGGTGGCCGAGAACAGCAGCTTCTGCAGCGGCAGGTGGGGGGCGCAGACGGCGGCGGCCGTCAGCGGGCCGGCGGCGCGGCGCGGCGGGCCGTCGGCGGCCGCTGCCGCGCGCTCCACCGCCTTCAGCCAGCCCGTCTCGGCCATCTCAATCACCCGGTCGGCCTCGTCGATCACGAGGTAGCGCAGGTGCGCCAGCGAGAAGCCCTCGGTGCTGTTGATGTGGTCCATCAGCCGGCCGGGAGTGCTGACCACGATATCGGCCAGCGAGAGCGGGCCGCGCGGCCCCGCCGCCACCAGTTTGCGTCGCTCCCGTGCCACCGTGTCTCCGCCCAGCAGCCGGACGCAGAGCGGCGTGTCGGCGGCGTACTGTCGGAACACGGCGGCCACCTGCGCGGCCAGCGCCTGTGTGGGCAGCACGGCCAGCGCGCGCACCCGACGCACCACAGCGCCGCGCAGCGCCTGCACCAGCGGCAGCACAAACGCTAGCGTCTTGCCGCTGCCGGTCGGCGCCGAGACGCAGAGGTCGGCCGGCGGCAGCGGCGACTCGGCGGCCGCCAGCAGCTCGGGCAGCACGGCCGCCTGCACCGGGAACAGTCGCTCGATGCCCTCGGCGGCCAGCCGGGCGCGCAGTTCGGGACAGAGCGCGGGCAGCTCGGCCAGCGCCGGCCGCCGGTCGCCGATCGGCTGCGGGTGCGCCAGCCAGTCGGGAAGCACGCGGTGCACGGTCCGCCGGCCCGAGCGCTCCACCTCGTCCAGCACAGTGAAGTCGTCAGTGGTGGCGGCGGCGGCGTCTCCGTCCGAGTCGGAGCCGCCCTCGCTGTCGTCGTCGCTGGCGACGGCGGCGGCCGCCGTGCGCTCCGCCAGGTCGGCCATCTCGGCGTCGCTCGCCGAGGATTCAGCTTCATCAGCAGTGTCGGGCGACGGCGGCTTCACCACGGCTTTTGCAGCAGAGACTGGCTCTTTAGTCCTCTGTTTAGCAGCTGCTGGACTCTTTGCAGAAACATCTTGCAGTGAGCGTCTTCCTTTTCTGGCATTGAGACGCTGTAGGATCTCTGCCTCTTGCTTGAGGCGCTCGCTGACATCATCGTTATCCTCTAATGCCATATTATCAAAAGCTGCAATGCAAGACATAACAAAATTGATTTGTGTCTGTATTTTGACAGCGACATAGCACTCCATGCATAATTTAAATAATACTTACTAAGTAGGTACACTCAAGCTCATACACAGTGCACATCTACCGATCAAGGCTATATCAACCAGACAAAACGTTCCGGGGCCTTGGACGCTCTCCCATGTTTGAGCGTCCGAAAAGTTTTTTATTTCCACGGAAACCTAATGCCTCAACACGCCTAGCGCACTGTAGCATCGTGCCGTGAAACCCGTGAAAATAGGCCGGGGCCGGTAGTTCCGGGGCCAAAAACAATCGGCGGAGCGGTGTGTTCGGGCAGCGGAGCAGCACGTGCTCTGGCACATCAGCCTCTTCTGGGCACACGGCGCAGGGCGCCGCGGGGCACCGCTTGTCTGGGCACTGCTGGCACGCCGCGGAGGGGAGACAGCCGATTCGGTGAACGTACTGGAGCGAGAACCCCAGTGGCCCGCCCTTATCCGGTGCACCGAAGCGGCGTCCTCTCGGTCCTCTCCAGATAGCAGATATAGGGAGCGGCGGCGTGCTCCAGAGGAGCGGCTTGAATAGTGCCTCGGTCGGACCAGTTGTTGCGCCATTGATGCGAGGCCGCAAAATGAACTTAACAACGCTCAGCATTGTTCAATAAGGTCTTCCATACCTATCTCCATACCGAGAGTTGAGGCCTCACCTGGGTGGCCACTCCACTGAGTAGACTCAGGGCGGCTCGCCAGTTCTTTTATATACCTTGGCCAGTTCAAGCACACAACAACCAGGGCTGGGACCTCGTCCCAAAACGTCTACAGAGCCTTCCACAGGGCAAATCTGCTGCTAGATTGACCAGCGTGGTGGTTTATTTTGGTGACCGTCTTATGCCAAAAAATTCTGCAGCCGCCTTGCGCCAAAAAACTTGGCTGCCGCCATGCACTGTATTTGGGGCATGCAGTTACCCCATACTTACTGAAATTTTCAGCACAATCCCGCCATAGTGCCAGACATTTTCGGCATAACATGTATTTTTTTCCAGTCTAGAGCTACAGGACTAGCATATGCAGATATGCAATGCCCTTAAGTTGTAAATATTGTCTGCACATTGTTTAATATTGATAACACAAAACCAGATAGTATGCGACACAGGCACAACTTCACGGAGGCTGAGGACCACAGATGTTTGATGTCAAACAGCCTCACCTTTTAACAGACAGATGAGGCAATTGGCAAATAAATCAGGCAAAAAAAGGAAATGAAAATATTAATTGGTAGGTATCGACTGCCACCACTTCAGCTCTTGTTGTTTACACCCCCTGCGCCTTATGTAACGGAAGTTGGCACAGATTCAGCACAGATTCAGCACAGCACAGATTCGGTAGGGGGAAAAAAAGGCCCCGGTAGAGGGAAACCTTTATGACCCGTTTTCCCCTAGAAATGACGTCACAAAGAGGTAAAAGTGGGTATCAATCGAAAGCTCTCGTTTACCCAGACACAGTCCTGCAGGAAAATTTCACTTTTTCCCCATAGGAAAGTTTGTACGGGAAAATCAAAATTTTGGGTCAATGGGGGGTCCCCCCCGATTTCGTTCAAAATCGGCACACAGGTGCCCCACCACCAGCCGAGAAACTTTCCCCAAAACGGTCCCCGTTGCATTGACGTTTAAGGCCCGTAAAGCCCCTTAGACTCGTAAAATATCCGTAAAATCGCCTTTGTACGGACAAAAAAGTGCTGCTATGGTAAAAACGGGTATCAATCGAAAGCTCTCGTTTACCCAGACACAGTCCTGCAGGAAAATTCCACATTTTCCCCATAGGAAAGTTTGAACGGGAAAATCAAAATTTTGGGTCAATGGGGGGTCCCCCCCGATTTCGTTCAAAATCGGCACACAGGTGCCCCACCACCAGCCGAGAAACTTTCCCCAAAACGGTCCCCGTTGCATTGACGTTTAAGGCCCGTAAAGCCCCCTAGACTCGTAAAATATCCGTAAAATCGCCTTTGTACGGACAAAAAAGTGGTGCTATGGTAAAAATGGGTATCAATCGAAAGCTCTCGTTTACCCAGACACAGTCCTGGAGGAAAATTTCACTTTTTTCCCATAGGAAAGTTTTTACGGGAAAATCAAAATTTTGGGTCAATGGGGGGTCCCCCCCGATTTCGTTCAAAATCGGCACACAGGTGCCCCACCACCAGCCGAGAAACTTTCCCCAAAACGGTCCCCGTTGCATTGACGTTTAAGGCCCGTAAAGCCCCCTAGACTCGTAAAATATCCGTAAAATCGCCTTTGTACGGACAAAAAAGTGGTGCTATGGTAAAAATGGGTATCAATCGAAAGCTCTCGTTTACCCAGACACAGTCCTGCAGGAAAATTTCGCTTTTTCCCCATAGGAAAGTTTTTACGGGAAAATCAAAATTTTGGGTCAATGGGGTGTCCCCCCGATTTCGTTCAAAATCGGCTCACAGGTGCCCCACCACCAGCCGAGAAACTTTCCCCAAAACGGTCCCCGTTGCATTGACGTTTAAGGCCCGTAAAGCCCCCTAGACTCGTAAAATATCCGTAAAATCGCCTTTGTACGGACAAAAAGTGGTGCTATGGTAAAAATGGGTATCAATCGAAAGCTCTCGTTTACCCAGACACAGTCCTGCAGGAAAATTTCACTTTTTCCCCATAGGAAAGTTTGTACGGGAAAATCAAAATTTTGGGTCAATGGGGGGTCCCCCCGATTTCGTTCAAAATCGGCACACAGGTGCCCCACCACCAGCCGAGAAACTTTCCCCAAAACGGTCCCCGTTGCATTGACGTTTGAGGCCCGTAAAGCCCCCTAGACTCGTAAAATATCCGTAAAATCGCCTTTGTACGGACAAAAAAGTGGTGCTATGGTAAAAATGGGTATCAATCGAAAGCTCTCGTTTACCCAGACACAGTCCTGCAGGAAAATTTCACTTTTTCCCCATAGGAAAGTTTGTACGGGAAAATCAAAATTTTGGGTCAATGGGGGGTCCCCCCCCCCCGATTTCGTTCAAAATCGGCACACAGGTGCCCCACCACCAGCCGAGAAACTTTCCCCAAAACGGTCCCCGTTGCATTGACGTTTGAGGCCCGTAAAGCCCCCTAGACTCGTAAAATATCCGTAAAATCGCCTTTGTACGGACAAAAAAAGTGGTGGTTTGGTAAAAATGGGTATCAATCGAAAGCTCTCGTTTACCCAGACACAGTCCTGGAGGAAAATTCCACTTTTTCCCCATAGGAAAGTCTGTACGGGAAAATCAAAATTTTGGGTCAATGGGGGGTCCCCCCCGATTTCGTTCAAAATCGGCACACAGGTGCCCCACCACCAGCCGAGAAACTTTCCCCAAAACGGTCCCCGTTGCATTGACGTTTAAGGCCCGTAAAGCCCCCTAGACTCGTAAAATATCCGTAAAATCGCCTTTGTACGGACAAAAAAGTGGTGCTATGGTAAAAATGGGTATCAATCGAAAGCTCTCGTTTACCCAGACACAGTCCTGCAGGAAAATTTCACTTTTTCCCCATAGGAAAGTTTGTACGGGAAAATCAAAATTTTGGGTCAATGGGGGGTCCCCCCGATTTCGTTCAAAATCGGCTCACAGGTGCCCCACCACCAGCCGAGAAACTTTCCCCAAAACGGTCCCCGTTGCATTGACGTTTAAGGCCCGTAAAGCCCCCTAGACTCGTAAAATAACTCGCAAAATTTTGATTTTCCCGTACAAACTTTCCTATGGGGAAAAAGTGAAATTTTCCTGCAGGACTGTGTCTGGATAAACGAGAGCTTTCGATTGATACCCATTTTTACCATAGCACCACTTTTTGTCCGTACAAAGGCGATTTTACGGATTTTTCACGAGTCTAGGGGGCTTTACGGGCCTCAAACGTCAATGCAACGGGGACCGTTTTAGGGAAAGTTTCTCGGCTGGTGGTGGGGCACCTGTGTGCCGATTTTGAACGAAATCGGGGGGGAACCCCCATAGACCCAAAATTTTGATTTTCCCGTAAACTTTCCTATGGGGAAAAAGTGAAATTTTCCTGCAGGACTGTGTCTGGGTAAACGAGAGCTTTCGATTGATACCCATTTTTACCATAGCACCACTTTTTTGTCCGTACAAAGACGATTTTACGGATATTTTACGAGTCTAGGGGGCTTTACGGGCCTTAAACGTCAATGCAACGGGGACCGTTTTGGGGAAAGTTTCTCGGCTGGTGGTGGGGCACCTGTGTGCCGATTTTGAACGAAATCGGGGGGGACCCCCCATTGACCCAAAATTTTGATTTTCCCGTACAAACTTTCCTATGGGGAAAAAGTGGAATTTTCCTGCAGGACTGTGTCTGGGTAAACGAGAGCTTTCGATTGATACCCATTTTTACCATAGCACCACTTTTTTGTCCGTACAAAGGCGATTTTACGGATATTTTACGAGTCTAGGGGGCTTTACGGGCCTTAAACGTCAATGCAACGGGGACCGTTTTGGGGAAAGTTTCTCGGCTGGTGGTGGGGCACCTGTGTGCCGATTTTGAACGAAATCGGGGGGGACCCCCCATTGACCCAAAATTTTGATTTTCCCGTATAAACTTTCCTATGGGGAAAAAGTGAAATTTTCCTGCAGGACTGTGTCTGGGTAAACGAGAGCTTTCGATTGATACCCATTTTTACCATAGCAGCACTTTTTTGTCCGTACAAAGGCGATTTTACGGATATTTTACGAGTCTAGGGGGCTTTACGGGCCTTAAACGTCAATGCAACGGGGACCGTTTTGGGAAAAGTTTCTCGGCTGGTGGTGGGGCACCTGTGTGCCGATTTTGAACGAAATCGGGGGGGACTCCCCATTGACCCAAAATTTTGATTTTCCCGTACAAACTTTCCTATGGGGAAAAAGTGGAATTTTCCTGCAGGACTGTGTCTGGGTAAACGAGAGCTTTCGATTGATACCCATTTTTACCATAGCAGCACTTTTTTGTCCGTACAAAGGCGATTTTACGGATATTTTACGAGTCTAGGGGGCTTTACGGGCTTTAAACGTCAATGCAACGGGGACCGTTTTGGGGAAAGTTTCTCGGCTGGTGGTGGGGCACCTGTGTGCCGATTTTGAACGAAATCGGGGGGGACCCCCCATTGACCCAAAATTTTGATTTTCCCGTATAAACTTTCCTATGGGGAAAAAGTGGAATTTTCCTGCAGGACTGTGTCTGGGTAAACGAGAGCTTTCGATTGATACCCATTTTTATCATAGCACCACTTTTTTGTCCGTACAAAGGCGATTTTACGGATATTTTACGAGTGTAAGGGGCTTTACGGGCCTTAAACGTCAATGCAACGGGGACCGTTTTGGGGAAAGTTTCTCGGCTGGTGGTGGGGCACCTGTGTGCCGATTTTGAACGAAATCGGGGGGGACCCCCCATTGACCCAAAATTTTGATTTTCCCGTACAAACTTTCCTATGGGGAAAAAGTGAAATTTTCCTGCAGGACTGTGTCTGGGTAAACGAGAGCTTTCGATTGATACCCATTTTTACCATAGCACCACTTTTTTGTCCGTACAAAGGCGATTTTACGTATATTTTACGAGTCTAGGGGGCTTTACGGGCCTTAAACGTCAATGCAACGGGGACCGTTTTGGGGAAAGTTTCTCGGCTGGTGGTGGGGCACCTGTGTGCCGATTTTGAACGAAATCGGGGGGGACCCCCCATTGACCCAAAATTTTGATTTTCCCGTACAAACTTTCCTATGGGGAAAAAGTGGAATTTTCCTGCAGGACTGTGTCTGGGTAAACGAGAGCTTTCGATTGATACCCATTTTTACCATAGCAGCACTTTTTTGTCCGTACAAAGGCGATTTTACGGATATTTTACGAGTCTAGGGGGCTTTACGGGCCTTAAACGTCAATGCAACGGGGACCGTTTTGGGGAAAGTTTCTCGGCTGGTGGTGGGGCACCTGTGTGCCGATTTTGAACGAAATCGGGGGGGACCCCCCATTGACCCAAAATTTTGATTTTCCCGTATAAACTTTCCTATGGGGAAAAAGTGAAATTTTCCTGCAGGACTGTGTCTGGGTAAACGAGAGCTTTCGATTGATACCCATTTTTACCTCTTTGTGACGTCATTTCTAGGGGAAAACGGGTCATAAAGGTTTCCCTCTACCGGGGCCTTTTTTCCCCCTACCGAATCTGTGCTGTGCTGAATCTGTGCTGAATCTGTGCCAACTTCCGTTACATCTGCGCCTTCTTCATCGCACACATCGAGCATTTTCCTGGCCAAAAGTGTTCAAAATCCTCACAGCCCTTTTCATCGCTTGATGACATTCGCTTGTTGCTAGGCAACTAGCCTGCGTGCTTTGTAAACGTGGAAATATTTTTGCTATTGGCATCAAAAATAGAACAGAGCTTTACGCATGCATTTTATGAAACATGCGTTGAATTGCATGCGTTCTCAAAAACTAATTATAATATTCAAAGAGCCTCATATATTTTGTGGCATGTAGAATGTGTTCGCAAAATTAAACTTGGCAGAAAGAGACGCAGTAAAAGTACTTCTGTGTGAATAACAAATTCAATCTTGTATGGATGTATGTATGTATGTATGATCTTTGCTTTAGCTGAATGTTTTGGCCAGTATAAAACAAAAATAGTCAATTACTCTTAGAGACTTTTGAGTTGTAAATGATAAACTTTGAAGCAATCACTATATCATATCAACAAATACTTACAGGTAACTCATGAGATATATCCATATCTTCCACTCGGAGCCATGAAGAATCCTCTATATCCTGTATCTGAATACATATTTTAATTTGACTGCGGCGTTTTATATACTAAGTGACGAACTTGCGACATTTACAGCACGAAGATACTGTTCGATAATTCTAAAGGAATTCAGTTGCTAGGCAACACCAATTCATTTAGAGCTTGAGAGGCAAGTTGCTAGGTAACTGAGGTATTCAAATATCAGTCAAATATTTTTGAACAGATTCAGGATGCTTCATGGGTTTTCCGGGTTTTCAATATACTATTTATTTTTGGCGCTCAATTTGTTGAAAAAAGAAGCGGCGCCGTTCAGCGGGAGCTTCGGTGTAAGTCAGAGTGTAAGTAAAATGGGATATTTACTATTTTTTTCAATGGTGCCGTTTACAATCATAATGCAAGTCCAGGCACTGTACTGGCAACGTACTACATTTTTATGCTTGCATGGCTGGTTAGATGCTTTGTGACTTGTTCCTACTGCATGGTGCACAGGCACATACTTTGCTGGTAATGGCAAAGAAGCTATTTGATTAAGCTTCTTCTATATCACCTTTACATCATCTGTTGAAGTTTTGGTCTTTGTAAATTTGGCAAAAAAAAATTGAGTTACGACTTATCACAGATTGTGTATCATGTTCGGCCAAAAAGTTGCATAATTCATCTAATCTTTAAGAAATTCCTTCCTTACCTTTATATACTTAAGAAGTCACTGAAATCGGCGAAATTGCAAGCTCAGATGCTGACAAAGCTGTAGTCCTAGCTGACTAGTGACTTGTATAGCAAAGTAGGTGTTTTGGCCATAGTAAAGACTGACCTAACCTTACCTACAACCTAAAATCTACAACCTACAACCGGAAACATACTACCTAAAACCTACAACCTACAACCTAACCCACAGCACCTCTCCTTGGTAGCAAATAGAAGTCTGATGCCTGTTTTACTATTACTAACTACCATAAATTGTTCATAAACTGCAATAACTCTCTGCCATACAAGAGCAATGGCTGTGCCAAATTTAAACAAGATATATCAAAATTTGACCCCTGAATTGTAGGTATATTACACCCATGCATGACTGGTGGCTCTGCAGAGCCACCCTCCCGTTTTTCTGCAATATCTTCTAAACCGTTTGACAGATCACCACGAAACTTTTGGTAGGTACCTTCAGCGGCATCAATTTGACACCTCTTGTTAAAATTTCAATATTCTAGCTACCATGATTTGGCCGGAAATGACGTCAGAGTGACGTCATGTCGGCCGATTTTGATGCAAAATATTGAATTTGAATTATGGCAAACGCTCTCAAAAACTCAGTTTTAAGGCTAGATCCAATTTCTTTGCATGAGTGGACATACACGTAGTGGACATACACGTAGCTATCAAACTGTTATCTCAAAGTTTAAGAAAAAATTAAAATTTTGAAAAATATAGATTTATAACTACAATTTTTTCAAAGTTTTTGATTTTTCGCAAAAACGGGAATACATATATGTGATAGAACACACACTGATCAACTACTCTAGCAAGTTTTAGCTCAATATCTTCAAAAATAGTCAAGTTATTTGCATTATTGTCAAAATTGTTCAATTATATATTTTTCAAAACCATTTTTCAGTACGTTTTTGACATCGTACAACAATATAAATGGCACCATCGTGTTCTGGAGCTTCAACTGCATCTGATAGGGACCTTTTTTTGTTGACAAATTTCAATTTCAAAATTTGACCTTTTCTGACCTGAAAGAATTTTCTGACCGGTAAATTCAGATGAAAATGACCCCAAATGACACAAACGGCATTGTTTTCGAAATCTACGAGTAAAATGGAACATAAAACTTGCGTCTCGTGACCGATACATGATATACAATTTTCGTGACCTAGGATGACCTGGCATTGACCTGAAAAAATTCGAAGTAAAAGTTAAGTATCCTCAGGGTATCTAAGGCATATATCAAGGAATGCGTAAACCAAAAATGAGCCTGATCCGACTTGTCAGCCGGCGGTCAGAGCCTAAATTGTGAACAAGCAAAAATGCTGATAATTTTTACTTTGACGTGACCTGTGACGTGATCGGTGACCTTGAGGTCAATGAAAATAGGTTTCGTTCGACAGTTTTTCCAGGGCGTTCAGATTACGTTTGAATTTTGACGATCGTCCCAGAAGTTTCGGAGATAAGAGGAGGGGGACTCTGGAGAGCCCCCCCTAAGTCACTCGCGTTACGGAAAATACCCCAGTCAGGCGCGGGTTAACCTCAATAATAACCTTCTCCAGTCAATGCCATTTGGCTACAGGCTGGAGTCAAAGGCATTTGACAGTCAAGCATGGGTTTCACCATGGATAGGTATTGGATAACTAACAAGTAATCCATGGTTTAACCCTTGCTCTTTTGCAGGGTTTGAACGGCTCCTTTCAGTTTTTCGCAAATAAATCATGCAGAAAGTGGCCTATCATGACGAAACTTAAAGTACCCTTGAGTTGATCAATTTAACGTCTACCCTGAAAATTTTATGACCACGACCCAAATGACCTTTGACGGTAGGCACTAGGCAGACACTCGAACCTGTGACAACTGAACCAGGGACAACTGAACCAGTGGACAACTGAAAAACAAGTGAACCAGTAACAACTGAGCCAGGCTTACGTGATCTTAGGTCACCGATATCAAAACTTCTAGATTACATTTTTATGCATACTGTTATTCTCGCATGTGTAGGGGGGGGGTCGGATGGACCCCCCCCCCCATGGTTTTTCGCGAATAACTCGCGTAAAAAGCGGCCGATCGCGACGAAACTTTCAGTACCCTCTCATTGATCAATTTTACACCTACCCTGAAAATTTCATGACCCTGACCCAAATGACCTTTGACCTGTGACCTCTTTTCCGAGACCATGTTTGGCCGGAATCGCGATTCCGCGTATGTCGGCTCACATTAGCCGCGCGTTTGCAAGCTTTTCGTGGTTTCAAACGTTCAAACATGTGATTTGATGCTGCTCCCATGCATTAGAATGGGTGTCAAGGTCACCTGAAGGTCAGGTCAGGTCAATGACCTTTGGTGACCTCGGGTGACCTCGGCTCACTTTTTCGAGTTTTACATGTTTCTAGGCTAGTTTTTGGAGCTGAATTCGAATTTAGCAACCATTTGAACATTTACGAAGTAGTTTTGGTGCCTTCGTAACATGTTACGAAGCTGTCAGAGGTGGTTGACACGTACTACGAATACCCGTCACAACCCCTACTGGTTGACCTGACCTGACCTGACCCGACCTGGTCAAAATGCTTAAAGACATCATCTGTGATCAAAACTAACACGATATTCGTGATCAGCACCCCGAAAAACCCCTTAGCAGCCACACTTTACGACTTTCTAATAGGTCCCGATTTTCCCGACTTTGGGTCATTGACCTGACCTGGAAGGTCAACCAATGACCTAGGACCCTAAAATTGGGTATCATCGGCTTCCTCTCGTCACGGGCAACACGCTCGTTTTTTCCGCGAAGCTCTAGCTCGATCAGGGGCCAAACGGCAAGGGGGGGGTCCAACCGACCCCCCCCCCCCCTACACATTAGAAGCTGGCAAACGCCGCACACATGCGAGGGTTAACCCTCGCCGGCACAGGCCATTTTGTGTCCTTCGACGGCACAGGGGGGGGGGGGGTACGACTCCCCTCGCGTTTGGCCCCTGATCGAGCTAGAGGGAAAAACGAGCGTGCTGCCCGTCACGAGAGGAAGCCGATGATATCCAATTTTAAGGTCCTAGGTCATCGGGTGACCTTCCAGGTCAGGTCAATGACCCGAAAATCGGGAAAATCGGGACCTGTTAGAAAGTCGTAAAGTGTCGCTGCTATGGGGTTTTCCGGGGTGCTGATCACGAATATCGTGTTAGTTTTGATCAGAGATGATGTCTTTAAGCATTTAGACCAGGTCGGGTCAGGTCAGGTCAGGTCAACCAGTAGGGGTCGTGACGGGTATTCGTAATACGTGTCAACCACCTCTGACAGCTTTGTAACATGTTACGAAGGCACCAAAACTATTTCGTAAATGTTTAAATGGTTGCTAAATTCGAATTCAGCTCCAAAAACTAGCCTGGAAACATGTAAAACTCGGAAAGGTGAACCGAGGTCACCAAAGGTCAGTGACCTGACCTGACCTTCAGGTGACCTTGACATCCACCCTTATGCATGGGAGCAACATCAAATCACATGTTTGAACGTTTGAAACCACGAAAAGCTTGCAAACGCGCGGCTAATGCGAGCCGACATACGCCGAATCGCGATTCCGGCCAAACTTGGTCTCGGAAAAGAGGTCACAGGTCAAAGGTCATTTGGGTCCGGGTCATGAAATTTTCAGGGTAGGTGTAAAATTGATCAATGCGAGGGTACTGAAAGTTTCGTCGCGATCGGCCGCTTTTTACGCGAGTTATTCGCGAAAAACCTTAGGGGGGGGGTTGCATCACCCCCCCCCCCTGTGCCGGCGAGAGTTGAGTTCCAAGGTGGTCGTTCAGGTCAGTGTAGCTATGACGAGCATTCTAACTTTTCTGAAGCAGGGTCACTTCGTCGGACCTATTGGTTTTCTACATACGCCTCGGCCGAGGAAGGGGGTACGACCTGAGACCTCCCTCACCGTTTCGCGCCTAATGGAGCTAGAGCCTCGGGGAGAAAAAAAAACGAGGGTGTGCGCCGTTACGAGAGTCAGCGATTGGTACCCGATTTCAAGGTCTCAGGTGAACCGGTGACAGCGTTGGAAATGAGACCTCTTTCTTGTCCCGGCGTTTTATTCTCCGGGTGGGTTAACCCCGTCTAGCGCTTAGCCTTTCGGAACCTGGCTCAGAGCCGCGGTTGTTTTCGCCGCTCGGCCCATTCGAGGTGCAAAGTTGATAGTCACACGAAGTTGATTTGGATCCTCTGAATATACCACTTCGAAATTAATCGATTCTACAAAACCCTTTTCTATAATCTATATGCATATTATAGGTACTTAACAGTAACTCCGGACTAGGCTGATTTGGCTGGCCCTAAAATACGCTTGTATCTCGGATAGGGCGAGCGGCGAAAACAACTGCGACCCTGAGTGGGTCCCGAAAGGCTGGACGGGGTTAACTTAAGGTGTTGACATCGGGTCAAGGTCAGGTCAGAACCCCTCAGATCACGAAAATGTTCGAAGGTCATATCGCATGTCATTTGACTATACACTATACATGTCTTCCCGAGTCCATTGGTGGCTTTCCCGGCTCTCTAGCTCAATTTGATCGGGACTTATTGACGAAATACTTTTATGACCTCAGTGACGTCATAAATGACGTCACGGAAGGTCAACAATGCAAAATTGAAGCTTTGAATCCTGCAA